TGCTTCCATCCTTGCATCCATCCTTGCATCCATCCTTGCATCCATCCTTGCTTCCCTCCTTGCATCCATCCTTGCATCCATCCATGCTTCCAACCATGTTTCCATCCTTGCTTCCATCCATGCTTCCATCCATATTTTCATCCATGTTTCCATCCATGCTTCCATCCATATTTACATCCATATTTTCATCCATGTTTCCATCCTTGCTTCCATCCTTGCTTCCATCCATATTTCCATCCATGTTTCCATCCTTGCATCCATCCTTGCTTCCAACCATGCTTTCAACCATGCTTCCATCCTTGCATCCATCCTTGCTTCCATCCTTGCTTCCATCCTTGCATCCATGTTGTTGTGTTTTTTTTGTTTTTGTTTTTGTTTTTGCATTTTATAGTTAAATTCTCTTCTGACTTTTGTTTTTCTGTATCAGCCTTCTAACAGCAGTAGAACGTCCTATTTGTACATGTGGAGCTCATATAACATGGAGCAGGCATCGATATTGTATGTTGAATGACATAGAAAGAAACTCTGTGTTTGAGTCAGCTTTAAGTAAGGTACGAAAAAGCTTACACGTCGATGTTACCATTGTAAGTAAAGCTAATCACAACAGTCATACAATTGGCAGGTTTCTACCGTTTCTCCCCATCAGACTTTGCAGTGTTTTGATTTTCTTGCCTAAATACTTATAAGCATTTTCAATGGTGTGGTATATGCAACAGTTATATAATACTTTCTCATGACTCACTTTGGAAAATCACACTGCCACTTGTATTGTATATTAGCACCACAGCTTACCTTTCCCTTGAAAATTTAGCTTGGCAAGTCTGTAACTCTTACATTTTAACTATGTTTTGTACCTGATTTTTCAGCTTGTCAATTCAGGGTGTTCTAGTGCGTTTTGTGTCAGTGATAAATCACTTCTTCCGGTCACAGCAGCCAGTGCTGGTTTTAAAGAGGTATGGCAAGATAAGACAGCTAGTATTAAGTCTCATCCACACATTAAGATATTTTATATTTCGTTTCCAAAAAAAATTCACACATAGCGTTTTGGAAAAGTTGCGTTTTCACACGACGCGAATGACACGTGGTCTAAAATGGGAAAACATAGCTAAAGAGATCTAATTGGATATGGTGACTCAGTACACATAGTTTGAAACTTTTTATTGATTGCTTGAAATAACCTCTGGGCTGATCAAAGTCAGGGAATGGTTAATAGGATTTAGCATATTAGGTTTTGCTGGGGAAGGAAACTGGAGAAACCAGAGAAACACCCTCAAATCAACCTAACAAACCGAACAAACCCTAAGAGTGCTGACAAACGGTGCACCATTGCACGCAACATTGTAAGCAACAAATTTGAATTGGGGTGACACACATTGCAACAAAATCACGCGACATCGCTTGTGTCAGCCTGCTATGTTAAGATATTTGGTCCGCAGTCATAAATTTGGTGCAAGCAGATTGGCTGAAAATTTCAAAACGTTGCATGTAATATTGCAACCATGTTCACATGATGAAATTTGTTGCGCGCAATATTGCAAGAGTAAAGCGCGATTCAACTTCAGGTTTGTTGCATGCAACGTTGCGTGCAACATGTTTGGGGTAGACACACGCTGCAACATTCTTGCTGCGTGCAATGTTGCATGCAATGTTGCACCGTGTGTCAGAAGCTTAACAAACTCTACTCACATGTAACCTTGACCCTTTAGAATGTTATGGAATCTATTTATTCAATAATACACTTGTGCTTTATTAATTCATTTGTCATTATATAGTTTAAAATTTTATTTTCTCTTCAGGTTTTAGTTTTGGAATCTTCGATATCTTTTACGAAGCTTTTACAAAAGGTAAGTTATAATTGCACACAGCACTCGCGCGCGTCTTTAATCATAGCTTTGATAGTGATCTCCCTTTGTATTGTTTTCTGGATGTCGATCGTCTAGTTTTTCCACAAATTTCCTTTCTCCGAGTCTAGGAGGAGGTCATTTGATATGCGATCTTACTTAAGCAAGCCTTTGCTTCAATGTTGAATACTCGTTATCCATAAAAACCTATTGTTTTTATGTTTTTTTAAATCTTATACTTATTATTATTTCTTTAGATTCTACATATAAATGACCTTAATGACAGAGTGCATTTGTTAGACAAAACCTTAGATAACGTCTGCAAGGATGATATGCCCAATGGCAAGGTAAGAAATAACCTAATAACCTTTATATAGCCCGCAATTAGTTCTAGTTGGTCTGTTACTATTATTGTCAAGCTACGGACACGCAGTGCAGCATCGCGCGCAATGTTGCAGGCAATTGATGTTGCGAGCCATGTCACGACGCACTCAGTTCTAGTTGGTATCATTTCAACACTCTCTTACTATTGTCAAGGTACGTACACAGTGCAATATCGCGCGCAATGTTGCAGGCAATTGGTGTTGTGAGCCATGTCACGACGCATTCAGTGCTAGTTGGTATCATTTCAACACTCTCTTACTATTGTCAAACTACGTACACAGTGCAATATCGCGCGCAATGTTGCAGGCAATTGATGTTGTGAGCCATGTCACACGACCCAATTTGTTGCACGCAATGTTGCTTAAGTAGAAAAAGATCCTCCTTTAACAGCATTGCCTGAAAAATTGCGCGTGTACTTCCCAGAGCTTCTATGCAGCTTATCGTTGCTTGTAATTTATGGAGTGAATCTGAGCACTCAAGGAAACTTCGTGTATACCCTACAAACTATCTGTTGTTATTCCTGGATGAGGTCATGTGCTTTTAAAACTATTATCAATCCTTAGCTGATACATTGTTTGAACAAAACATCTTTCTTGTCTTGGCTACTAGAACACATCGAAACCAGCAGAAAGTAAACCGAGTTTTGGTGGACGTTAAGCAAACGTGTTGATGCAAAATTGAATAACACATAGCCGCATTCTTTGATTGACCTTCACTAAAACTAGCTAAGACACTACTGTGTTTGCGCACGATATTAACCGTAACTTTCATGTACATCACATAATGAGAGTTTCACATCTGTTGTCATTGCATTCGTTACGCGCAAAGCCGACTTGAGTCGAAAGTCGAACGATTACGTTAGAAGGTTTTTCGTAGCGTTGCGCGCATGAGTTGTAGGCACATAGATTTCCGCAGTTAGTGTCTCGCGCACTGCGTACCACAAGAATTGACTAAAATAATTGACCAGAATATTGATTTCTAAAGCATAGGGGATTATGACCATGAATATTAGATAAAACCTTTATTCCTTTCCTTGCGTTTCAAGAGACCAAGGTTAAAAAAATAAATGGGAATGAACAGTGGTTCGCCTAAGTAGCTCTTCTTGCACTGGATTTAAATTGGAATTTAGAAATTGATTTTTGCGTAGGAAGGAAAAACCGGAGAACCTTGAGAAAAATCTTCGAAGCACAGGAGAGAACCAACGATCAACTCTACTAATGACTAACGTTTACATGACATAAGACAATCCTTACCCTTGAATCTCTTTAATCTTCGTTCATCAGATCGATGCTGTCATAGGAGAACCCTATTTTAACACCAGCCTCCTGCCCTGGCACAACCTGTACTTCTGGTATGCTTTAACCACAATACGACAGCTTGTCAATAAAGATGTCAAGGTCATGCCCCAGGGGGGTATCCTTAGAGGTATTGCAGTGGAGTTCAAGGACCTGTGGAAATATCATTCTCCTGTCAATAGGGTGGAGGGGTTTGATTTGTCTCTGTTTGATCAGCTCATTGAGGTAGGTTTCTCCTGTTTGATGTGCGTGCTTTTATTCAACATTTGTTTATTTATAAGGAAGGCTCGAAACGCAAGACTGAGCTGTGATACAACAGCTACAGCTTAATAGATAGATAGATAGCTTCAATGTTTACTCTTAAACGAGCGCGGTTGATCCTACATTGTTTGCACTTTACCGGGTACCGTTTTTGTATCTTTTGAGTGAGAAATCTTTTGACGGCATATTTTGAGAGAAACTGTAGAGCCTGGTATCAAGAGACCTATGCGCATTGCTGGAGGTAACTCTAAGGGCGGCGGTTTTTGTACCCTTTTCGTATAATTAGGAAACGTGCGATTCTGCATTACCCTATTTACACGGTACGACCTGCCGCAACACTGAAATGGCTTGCTAGAATGATTATCGTATGAGTGGGAAACATACGGTACTGACTTACAGCACGTACACGGTACGACATGCCGCAACACTGAAATGGCTTCCCATAGGAATGGCTTTCGTTTGAGTGGAAAACTTACAATACTGACTTACACGTACATGATACGACATGCCGTAACACTGAAATGGCTTCCTAGAGTGGTTATCGTATGAGTGGGAAAATTACAATACTGACTTACTCGTACACGGTATGACATGCCGCAACACTGAAATGGCTTTCTTTGAGTAACTCATCCAATCCCAACGCATAGTAGAGGGGTTTTATGATGACTGTTGATTCATATTTTCACATTAACTCAAGGTCAAACACTTTTTTTATTCCTCAGAAGTCAAAGCTGAAAAATGAAGAGATTGATGGTGATTGTGAAACATGCATCGCGCTAGAACCGCATCACGTGTGGGAGTACCCGTCTAGTCCACTGACAGACGTCATAGATCTAATGGAGTTCGAATTTACAAAGCCATTACCAGAGAAGACTTTAAAGAAGTCTGGAGTAGTGCCAATCACAGGGTAAGTTGTGTGTACTCGCAACAACAATAAGAAACTGTGGTTGGGTGCGGCAGGGATGGTGGGTGAGAGCAGTGAGGATGGTGGTTGGATGCAGTAGGGTGATGGTTGGATGCAGTGGGGATGGTGGGTGGGTTTGGCAGGGATGGTGGGTGGGTTTGTCAGGGATGGTGGGTGGGTTTGTCAGGGATGGTGGGTGGGTTTGGCAGGGATGGTGGGTGGGTTTGTCAGGGATGGTGGGTGGGTTTGGCAGGGATGGTGGTTGAATGCAATTGTGATGGTGGGTGGTTGCAGTAGGGAAATTGGTTGCATTAGGGAAGGTGAGTGGTTGCAACACGGGAGGTGAATGAGTGCAGAGGGGTTGAGGGGTGGGTGCAGTGGGGAAGGTGAGGGGTGCAGCAGGAAAGATGGGTGGGTGCAGTAGGGATTTCAGACGAATACAACGGGGATGGTGGGTGGGAACAGTGAGGTTGAATGGTGTTGCGATCGGGAAATAATAGAACTCATTACTTCTCATTCTTATCAATTACAGGTTGGGAACTCTTCATTGTGTAGTGTTATGGATGGACTTCCATGTCATGGATGACGTCTTCATCACCAACGGACTAACAAAGGTGAGATACTTCTATTATAGATTTCATAAATTTACTCGCTGTGACAAAGAAATGCTCAGCAATCAGTTTAAGACACGCACCGGCATTTCTTATACGTTTTAGTCCGATATTAGTGTGAAATTTCTGCAAAGGAAAAATTTGCCAATCAAATGTTGCTATTCGTATTGACATCATATGATGAGCCATACATCTAAACACTTTCTTTTTCTTGTTATAGAAGTGCAAGTCTACAGGAACTGACACTCTTGACTGGGTTCGACACACTAAACAGGCCGTGTATTTCATGAGATGTCCGACATATTTAGACGAGAAGGCAGCATCAGAAGCGACTCTCGCATACACAGTTACATTTGAACCGACGCAGGGAGATGTGAAGTTGAGTTTTGACTTGCAACGATGATCCTAGACAAATGGATATTGGACTCGAGTCTGGGCCAGAGGCATCCGTCACCCAAAAAACATCGTTGGATTCGTCGAGTGTGGAACGGTTTCTATGGCTACGACCCAGAGAGCATGTTTGAAGTGTTTGTCAGCTATTGAAATTACAACGAATTGATAACAACTGCACAGGACACTACGGAAACATTAGCAGCAAGTCAGTGGACCTTACTTCCTTCCGTTACTTTGAAGAGTCAAACAGCGAAAAAAAATCGGACTAAACACTGCTTGAATAAAATTGAACAAAAAACAGTTCTCATGAGTACTCCTAGAATTTAAAGGAGGGAACTCTTTTTCAGAACTTTTTTCGTCAAAATTTCTCTCTCTCTCTATCTCTCTCTCGTTTTAATGGCAGAAAACAAAAATAAACAAAATTTGATTATTTGTAGACTTTATTCGCGTTGTGTATACATTACCTGTGGGAGGGGGGCATGAAAAGAAAGGGTGTGGGAGGGAATCGAAAGAAAAAACTACCCGCGGGATACTCGAGGGTCTTGTCTAGTTCCCAGTCCGTCAGTCCTCTAAACATTTGCATATTCACGTGCAATAGCTTTTCTTTCAAAATTCCAACATGAAACGAATAAATGTTGGGAATAATCTTACTTAATAAAAAAGATGTTTACTCAGGGCGTGTTCGCATTGTTCACATAAACAATGCCTTTGTATTACTCCTATTCACATTTTCTCAAGCGTCAAATAATTAAAGAAAAAATACTCAAGGGAAAACAATTTCGTTGTGGRAAACATTCTTCCCTAAGGTATAAGATCAATAGGGGATAATGCGCAGGCCATTGTTATGGAGATTTACCTGCAGACATCATAAATGTCTCTGTTACAGTTCAACTGTCTACCGCGGCGCTCAATGAAGATTAACTACACCAAGGTCCTCAATAAGTAAGTTACTTCAATCCACGTGTTATTCCCTTGAGTACTATTTCTTTCTGCATCAGGAATTTTAGTTGAGACTCTTTAATTGTTATCAAACTTAAGTTTCCAATATTTATAACATAATTTTAGATATCGATTACGTAAGGGAATCGCATAGCATTGGTGTTAGATGATGAATTAAGAGCCCATTAAGTACTGTTTCGACTCTAATGTGCGGCGATTTTTTTGTGCGCTTTTTGCAATTCTTTTATTTATCATTTTTTATAAGTTTCTTCTTTTCAAATTTAACTTTAAACTATAAGAATAAAGATGACGCAAAAATTCCCTGATAGATAAATAAATAATGCTATTTTTGATCATAATTGTTCTTCATATTTTTTGAAGGTATTTATTAATTTTTCATAATACTTCAATACTTATACTTTATAATAACACTAAAAATTTCCTATCACGTTTTAGAGAATTTTCTTGGAAACTAATAACAAATGCTAGGGTAAGTGATTTTTACCACCCATGGTTTAGGGTAGGGTTAGTGCTAGGGTTAGGGTTGGGGTTAGGGTTAGGGTTAGCATTGGAGTTAACCCTAACCCTAACCAGTTTTTCGGCCACGGGTTGGCGTTAACCCTAACCCTAGTGATTTTTTTGTCAATTATGTTTAGGGATAGAATAAGAACTAGGGTTAGGGTTAGCTAATAACCCTAACCCTAGCCGGTTTTTTGTCAACCATGTTTAGAGGTATGTAGGGTAAGTGCAAGGGTTAGAGTTAGAGTTGGCAATAACCCTTACTATAGCCGGATGTTTTGCCAACCATGTTTAGGGGTAGGGTTAGTGCTAGGGTTAGGGTTAACATGATGGCTTCACGTACAACATATCGTTAGGGTTGGCACTTATTATACGCATATTAATTAGGTAATAACAATTGATTAATTAATGCATACCATGCATATTTTCGTGTTTCTCGCACGGTAGCGGGTTTCTCTATAAAAGGAAGCGCACGTTGAATAGTTTAGTCAGTTGGTTCGCGCCGATGGAGCCGTTTGGGGGAACATGCTCGCGGTTTGTTCGCCAGCCATTCTTTATCAAATCTTGATGGTTTTCATGTCAGACGATAATAGGTAAGCTGTATTTTATTCATTTATGTCTAAAGCTATATTTTAACGAGTCGAACATTGTATTTAACACACAATAAGGAGTATTTCATAGCGTTAATCGCACTCGTAAAGAAGAAAGTATGGCGTAACAAATCGAGGCATTAGCTCTTTTTTGTTATCGCTAATTTTTGGTGAAGTTGTGCACGGATTCATTTTCCTTAGTGAATTTTTAATCCCTTTGACGGACACAACTTGTTTGTTTACTTTGTCATTTTTTCTTAAATGTTTGCGTGTTTATTAACTCTCACGATAACATGCAAGTATATCAGCCTATAATCAAATACTCGTATTATTTTTATATTAAAAATGTAAATTTTTGGGGGCCCTGTGTTGGGCTTGCATTACTCCACCACAGGGAGCCCAATATTTCAAAAGTGTAGAATAGGATTTTAATTTTTTTACTTTATTTTTCTCTTTTACTTTTTATTCTTGCTGATTTCGTTGAAAATAAGAGAAGAGGATAGAAGTGAAGACAAACAAAAATAAATTTAAAAAANAAAAAAAAAAAAAAAAAAAAAAAAGAAAAAGAAAGGGTTAGTAAAAGAAAGTGAAGATAACCGGATAGGAAATTTTTATTACAAAAAATGCGCAAAGAAAGAATCCTTTAATTCATCAACAAGCGCTGAGTTGAAATGTTAGAAATGTTAAACTAAACCCAATCACTACATTTTATTTAAAATGCTTGGGATCCCTGTGGCAAGTTGCAAAAATTTCTGAAAATTCAACAATTTTTTTTCTTGAAAAAATTAATGTTGTGGAAAGAATACAATCTAATTAAAGTACATTATTCGAAATATTGACAGGTTTTGTAAATTTTCACTCCCAAAATGACGATTCATTAACATTGACCCTGGCTAAACTTCACCACAGGTAGCCCAAATACCTCCAACCGTCAAAAAACATTTAAAATATAATAGAAAGAACATCTTAATCCTAAACTTTTTACCTTTGACGAGAAGTGTAAAGCAAGCTCTAAATCGTCTTGTAAAAATATTTTGCTTTTTTGCTTTATTTCATGGAAAACAAGGCGCTTGAATTTGGAACCCCAAAATAAGCGTTTTTTCGGTTGGTCAAAATTTTCGTAAATAGAAATAATAATTTTTTCTAAATAAAATACGCATTGATAGAAAGCTAAGGCTCGTGCCAACATGTTTCTGAAGTCATTTTTGTGATTAGACTTCTATTAAAGGTTTGACGAGGAAACGAATTTTTGACTAAAATGGCGTTTGGTCAGCGGTGTATCGTTTTTAGCTATTTCCTATTTTTAGGTGGTTTTTAAACTTTTTTCCAAATGCAACTTACACATATATTAGAAATTTAGATGCGCTATATGAAGGAATTAGGATAGTTATCAAAACTCGTTTGAGTGAGCAGAAAAACGAGTTGAAATTTGACCTAAATTGGGTTTCCTGTGTATACCGTTTTGGAGCACGCATAACACAGGAAGCCCATCACTTTCAAAGGTAGGTATCACTCCATTGAAACCGCACTTGCAATCACAATACAAAAACCCAAGTAGTAAAGGATGATAATCACCTTGAGAGTCGATAATATATTATCTGGCATTTCGTCGAGCATGCGCAGTAAGAATGTAAGGGTTCTTATAGTTTACCACCACAGGGATCCCCAATTTATAAAATATGAGACAAAAAATTTAATAGGTTTCTTATTTTATTCATATAATATTTTATTATTATTATTTTATTCATATCAAAGCTAGGAAAAATGAGTATATTTTATTCAAAATCGGGAGCCCTGTGTTGGAAATGGCGCTTTACTCTACCACAGGGATCCCAATGCTTTGCATCCCATCCAGGACCCCGCCCATTTATAGAAAATACAACACCAACAAAATTAAGACTTTTTTATTTTAACATTTTTCTGATTAGAGAAAATAAAGGATTAAAAAAAAGAAATTAAATTAATGAATAAGGCTGAAAACGGATGAGAAAGAGGAAAATGAAAAAAGAGGAAATAGGGAGAGGTGATACTTCCCGAGGGATCCTCGCGGGTCTATTCTAGCATCCAGTTCTTCTCCGTTTCGTACTGCAACATTTGCATATTGAGAAACACGTTTCTTGGTCTAGAGAATGTATTCGATATTTTAAGCTGCATTTTACAGTAAAATCAGTTTTATTGGAGTAATATTCATCCTAAAATAGCAAAGAACGTTCAACAGTCATGACTGGTAAGAATTGTTTTATTTTTACCGCGTTTCTCAGTGTTTTATCATCGAAGGGAACGGAACACGTGACGACCAAGATGTCTTCGCTTTTGGTTTCTAGTGTTTAGGGTTCTGCTTCGTTTTATTTCTATTTGAAACTCATTATTAGCTAACGGAGATGTGTTTTAAAGTTATTATAAATTGCAATTTCGAAAACATTTTAATGTGTTTAGTTGTACAAATTCGTTGAAGAACCCTCCCCCACCCCCATAAGAGTTTTTGCTCATCCATACAATATTAGTAATAACCATTAATAATTATCTTCCTTTTGCAGTTATCAAGATGTGAAAAACATTGAAATATCAGTCAGTGTAACCCATGGCATTATACTCGGATA